TTGCTGAAATTTAATTAAAATTAGTTGAATAATAATGCTAGTATTTCATATATTTTTATTATCATTAGACATTAAAATGATTACACAAAGAGATTGTACATAAATTATTATAACCGTAATTAAATATCGCGTATAAAGTTCTACGAAGTTTCAAACACGGTTATTTTTAAATCTTCGGAATATCATTTTATTTAATGTGTAACATTTTTGAAAGTTTAAAAAGAGATTTCGCTAGTTATTTAAATTAAACACGCTTATACATTATAACAATATAAAAAAAAACTCTATATATTAAATTATATCTTTCATTAGCTAGGATTACTAGGAATATATGCGTGAACCGGCAGTATTTTACTATCGTCCGCTAGTATGCGAGTCACCCTGGCAACGGCCGCTGTAGCATAATTGAAGCGCTAGAAAAGCCGGCGCAATTATATTCGGTATGCTGAGTATTTACATGACATTATCGTACGCCAAGCATTATCTTTATTTGCATTGGCGATCACCCAGATACTGAGCACCCCTGAACGAATAACAACGCGCGCCCGCGGGGCCTTGGATCGTGCGCACTCGGCCGTGATCGGCGAGGCTCGTCGCCGGTACGTCCCCATAGCGATGAGGATTAAAGAGGGAGGGAGAGAGAGAGAGAGAGAAAGCGGACCCTTTCGATAGCGAGAGCGAGAGGGACAGAGCGGTGGAAGAAGGAAGGATCGTGGCCCTCGAATGGGCGAGGGAACGGGTGACTCGACTGGAGCGAGTGAGACGAAAATGGCGGGGGAGGGGGGTAAGAGCGCGAGAGAGAGGACGAAGGAGATTGTCTGGGCATAAGCGCGCGTTCCCACGCCCGCCGCGCATGCGCCGGGTTTCGGTCCCCGTCGCGTCCCCCTCATGCTCCCTACACAGGTAATCGGCCGCCCCCTCCCCTCCCCTCTCCTCTCCCTCTCCCGATCACTTGGCTCTCTCGTACCGCGGCGCGAGCGGGGTTCTTCATCTTCGTTGCTCCTGCGAAAGTGGTCCCTTCTGTCATACAGACCCGTGTTGCCCGTGCATCGTCGCGTCGTTTGCCTCCTTCTCGCACTCTCTCTCGTTTTCTCTCGGGAATCTCTCCTCCGTCTCCCCCTTCTCTGCCCTTTGGTCCGCTCGCTCTTCATTCCTCCTCGTGTCTCTCGCTCCCTCCCCACATCCGCATAGATTCAAGCGGACCCGTCCGCCGTTCTTTCTCTCCGTACGCCGTGCCGCGCCACGTTCTTTCTCCGTACGCCTCGCCCGCGCACAATATTCATTTCCACCACTTATCTCGCCGGTCGGCGCGGCGGTGGGGTCCACTGGGGTCCGTCCGACGGTCCGACGTTCGCCTCGTCCCCCCCCCCCCTGTTCCTCATACCCACCCTCTCTTTTTCCGCCTTCTTCGCGCAACGAATGCTGTTCTAATGATTATCGTCGCTCGGCTCATCGTCGCTACTGTCTCGTCATCGATGCGTGATGACATTGGTTCCGAATGGCTGCACGCTGCAGCGACGACGCGACGCTCCGGTAAACCACTTTGCTTTTAAAGTGGTAAAATGTTGCGGAATTAATGCCCTTTTTCACGATCGGAGATGTCGTACTCGGCGCACACGAACGCGGTGCGCCGCGGTGGACTCTGAAGATTTGTATCTCGTTCGTTGAATATTCATCAAGATATCGATTAAGATAAGAGATCTATGTCACGTTTGTATTTGTAAAATAAATCGGAGAAACGAGGAGGGAAGAAGAACGCGACGTTGGTTAATTTGTTCGACTAAATTGGGTGATGTTGATTTCTCGTTATACATTTTTATTTTATATTTAAAATTTGTCCAATTACTATTATATGTATATCTCTCGGCGTGATGCAAGTGCGATTCGACATTTCTATCATTGCATAAGTTTCATTATCCCAAGTAGAACACAAAAATACATTATAAAGACATTATCGTGGTCTTATTTGTTGAATTATAATTCATTTTTAAATATCAAATGACGTGATATCATTATGACTTTATTATGACTCAGTATTTTATCTACTACTTTTTGATATATGTATATACAGAGGAGTTTTTGACTTGTAATATCTGTTTCCGATAAAAGCCCAGTCGCTAGCGAACGAAGGCTTGCGTACGGAGAATGTGAAGGTTAAGGATTGAGAAATTTTTTCAGACCTGAAAGTATCGCGGGTCTATGGCAGGATAAGAGAGCGGTGCCTGAAATGTTTGCAGAACCTTCGCAACCCTTCGGAACGTATTATTTGCGAATGCCTTTACGCGAGACGGTTTTACTCGTTCTCATGAGAGAAGACGAGCTTACGGCATTCCGCAACTATTTCCGTCCGTTGGACGGTAACGATAGACGAGAAGTGTCCAATAAACCGACGAAACGCGTCGTTTGTTTGTTACTACGGTATTCTTCCGTTCGTTGATGTAGATCGTAGATCCCCGGACATTCTATGTAGTTTTTACGGTATTATAGGAGAGTAACTTGTTAATGTGAATTTTTTAATTATTAAACTAGCAAGCATTTTAACTCTAGAATGCATGTATGTGCAGCAACTAAAAATCAATAAGAAGCTAGTTTAAGAAATTTCTTAGATATGGCGGAAGAGTAGCTGGAAATTAGTTTAAAAATTATATACAAAGAAGGCAAGATCGAAAAGAACGCAAAATTATAATATATTTACATAATCCTATTAATCTTGAGTTGAGTTTGAATTTCATTGAATGAATTCTCACTTAAAAAAGTTAAAATACTATTATTGAAAAAGAGTGAAAAATTTGCACTTTTTGAATAAGAGTGGTGGATCTTTACTCTTTTGGAGTGAAATTCATTCCAAAAGAAAGAAATCTTATCCCTTTTATGGAGTGAATCTCACTCCAAAAGAGTAAAAATCTATCATTCTTATAAAGAATGCAAATTTTTCACTCATTTTCAATAGTAGCAGTATTTTAACTCTTTTAGAGTAAGATTTCACTCCAAGAAATTTGGAAAGTAAGTAAAAGATGTATTTAACATTTCTTAGAGAAATTTTACACATTATGTATATGTACAACTTGTATATATGAAGGCATATATTAAATTTTTGTTCCGGAACAAAATCTGGATCATTTCGAGAGATGTAAATACGAATCAATTGTTTTCATTTATCAAGCCAACACCTCGTATATCTATATAAAAATAAAGTATACACATATACAGGGTGTCCCGTAATTCATCCGACAACGCTCGTGGGCAGGTAGAGCGGATTAAACCGAGTCGAAAAGTCCTTTACCATTTTGCAATTTTCACAATAGATAACAAGATTTAAAATTAATTACTAAAAATTGCTGAATATTGGTCTTCAATAATTTTTTTCTCAAATACTATTAACTTTACAGAAAAACAGACAAAATTGTAAGAGATAAAAATTGTTTTTTTTCTTAGTAAATAACATCTTGTTAATTATTGTCAGTTTAATCCGCTTTATCTACCCGAGTATTGTTGGATGAATTACGAGACATTCTGTATATATATATATTTATTTATACGTATAGACTTTTCTACTTAGAACACGATATTGTTTTCTTGTCGTATAAGTATATAAGAAAATAAAGAAATATACTCGAGCTGCGCTCGATTTGAATGCTTTCAGTGCTGCAGTCTTTATTTTGCAGTTTCGCAATGAATGATAAAGACAATATGATGATAAGCATTTAAAATGCGTGAGCGTTCAAACTGAAGCTTTTGAGGTATAGATTTAAGCCTGACTTGAGATACAGATTTAAGCCGAGACATTTGCCGCCTTCGGCCACTTGTTGCGTATCCACGCATCGTCTCGACAGCATATCAAAATTTAAACGAATTACAATTATACTGAGAAACTTATTCTTTTTCTCTGAGTGCACATTATATCAATTATGGATATATCTATACTAATTGTACATAAGAGAAAAGATCACTTGCAGTTAAAGTCAGATGTTGAAGTAATATATTTATACATATTATTTAAATAAATTTATTTCACAATTTGATGTATGATTGCGCATAATTACTTTTTGGATTTGCAATGCGATCAAATCGACATAATAATAATAATAATAATAATAATAATCTTAATCTAATTAATCGCTTTAAATTCGATGCTACTAACATCTTAAAATCTTTTTACAATAAGTTTTTTATAGGTTTTAAGATGCTATTAGCATCGAATTTTGGAGAGATCATTATTATTTTGGTTTGATTGCGTTGCAAGTCCAAAAAGTAATCGACACAAAATCATATCTGAGATAAATTTATTTAAATATATATATTATAGGTTTTTAGATTATTATCCCCAAATCCGTAAATGACTCTTTTGTTTTACTTAGTTGATTTATTCATATAATGGTCTTATTTCTATCTAACTCATTACTGCAATATGTATATATAATAGATACATATACTGAAAAAAGAGTCTGGTATAATAACTATCAAATATATTGAATGAAATAATCAAATAATATCACTGTTGCCAAGTCTATTCGAAAGTTTTGTCTTCTTTATACTGCGATTTTTTTCAATATTTTAACTGTAATTCGGGCTTTTTTAGTATTTTCCTCTGCAAAGTCATTCGAAAATTCTTTTAAACTTTTTGTACTCTTTTGTACCCCACAAAATCTCTCAGTAAAAAGAAAAACCTCCAAATCTGATAGAAATTCTACTAAATTGGCAACACTAAATCAAATAAATGTTCAGTTACAATATGATGTAAAATAATAAAAAATAATTTAACTTTCCTAAATATGTGTAATAAGTATAATATTATCAAACATAATGATATAATGATAATAACAATTCTGTTTCATAATATTTGTTAAATATTTAGAAAAATAAAATCATTTTCCATTATATTCCGAACATTTAATTGGCATTGTTTTACTCAACATTTGATAGCTATCATCAGACTCCCTTTTCAATGTATATAGTTATAATTGGAAAATTATATATACACGTAGTTGTGTGTTCATTACCTGTAAATAGTGTCGATCTATTATAGTGTTGATCTTTGTTCTACTTGATATATAGTCGAGTATACCTCGACGGCGGTGTTGGTCAGTGTCCAGACGTTTTACGGACGTTGATACCTCGGTCAAAGAGTAGTCCCCTCGTTAGTGCCGAGTCGAGAGCAACGACGATGCGACGTCTTCGTGGTCATGGTTGTCGTCGACGCCGCGCATAATGAAGCGCCCGCAAACGTAACCGTTGTCCTCTCGCACCGACGTGCTGATTGCCAACGCGAATATTGTCGTACAGGAATAGGTCTGTTCGAAGAAGCCCGCGTGGACAAGAAGATTGGCGCGGATCTCGAAGAGGGGGAAAAAATATTATTTAGCGTCAATTAGAGACGTACGCCTAACGATCTCCGAGAGGTGGCTCGCGATTCTTTCTTACATTTCTCTCTTTTTTTTTTTTCTCCAGTCAACGTTCATATTCGCCATCGTCGCTCTTCGTTGCAAATCGTGCGATTTCTACACGTTTCTGTGAAATAAATAACACTGGCAAAATTTTCATTTCGGCTTTGTTATTGTGAGCAGGCAGATGGATGTCCACGTTAGCACGTGCTTGTCAAGTGCGCCATGTATGCTAATTGCTTCTGAGAGGCGATTATTACTTTAGTATCAACGTCATAATGTATTGGTATTGCGACATCAATAAACACATTATTTTATTATAATATATCTCTATTATATTTCTACAATATATTTCTATTTCTTATAAGTATTATTTTTTTAACCATCGTATGTACTACATTATGTGACTCGATTTATTTTTAATTGTGTATTAAAAATCAGCAATTATTGTCATTACGTTTAGACGCTTAAAATGTATGCACTTTTAAATAATACTTTTTAATAAATTAAGAAAAAAAGAGTACGGTAAATGAAATATTATTGTATAATAATGTTTGTAAGAAATACGAGGCACTTGTGTGATATTATTAGCCGTGCATTCTTAAGATTTTTCGAGTCTGGTTACGAATGATGATTGGAATGTCATAGTACCTTTTTTTTGTCGATTAAATATTTCTGACTAGACGTTCTACCAGTGGACGAAAATATGACGATACCTTTGACCGACTGTATGTTATAGACCGTGTACAGTAAAAATGATCGCCGCCCGACGAGATGATGATGCTGAGTCGCCAGCAACTCGTTTTTCGACCTTCTTTATGGCGCCCGCTTCACGACACCCCCGTAGATGCTATTTAAGGGCTTCCTTTTATTTCGTGTCATGTGTTCTTCCTCTTCTTCGTTCTTCTCCCTTTTTCTTATATATTTTCCTTTTAAACTTCCCGTGCTGTTTCTGTCATGTGTAAATCCGTGATGTCTCCCTGCCGATGTGTATGGTACGACAAAAAAACTTTTTTAAATTACCGACCAAAATAGAAATACTTATAATGCGTTGACTAGATTACGTATGTTTATCATTCTGATCGCTCGTTTTTTAAACAGCATAAAATAATACTGTCGTAAATCACTAGTGAAAAAAAATCAATTATTTATAGAAATTTTTCTTGGTTTTTTTTTTCACTACTATAGATCTCTGTCTTTATTGAACTTGTATGTATGCGTATAATATTCGTAACTAAAAACTGTATATGTTGACGAAATATTATATATAATGTATATGAATCCGTTTCTCAAACAATTGTGAGATCTGGATTATATGGTCTTCCTAATTAAAGTAGTGACTAATCGTGTACTCTTCACACACACACACACACACACACACACACACACACACATGCTACATTGTTCGATATAAAACAGTTCTCAAGCTGGAGTGCAAACATGAATGAATATTGCGCTGCACGTAATGTGAAAATTTCGGACGTATAATATTTACGAATATCGTTAATTAAAAAATATAATCATTTATTAGCATAATATGTTCAAGCTAGACAACTCGACCGAGATTATGTGCCTTAACTCCCATAATTAAGTCGCATGAGGAGGGCTTGTATACACTGTTCAGTAGGTTAATAAGAAAATGTTGCGATATCACGTTAAATTTCTATCTGACAATCTCACTGGCTTTCTTCTTGGCACTTCGCCGATGAAAGAATATCGTGTGTGAGAAACCGCGCGCTCCCATGGCTGAAATTTTTGCGGAAGTTACGTAGATCTCAATATAACAATTGTTTCCGACGTTTGGCTCAATTAAATCCGAATTAATGAAAAGATTATATGAAACACTATAAAAACATTTCTAATTAAACTTGAATTAGCAATGTAAAGCATAATGTACGTATCTATACGTACAATCTTTTCATGATGAAAAAGGAGAAAAAAAAAAGAGTTTACGAGATGATTTTTTTTAATCGATAATGTTTTATGTAATTGCAGATAAATCATATTGATTAATATTATAAATATTATAAAAATATTTTTACGCACATACGCAGATTAAAACTGTGTAATAGTTAACAACTTTTTCCTTCCTTTCATATTTTTTTTCATAGAGGATACAATTCTTCCGTGTATAGCGTACTTATTTTGTAAATCTATGAGATCCATTACATAGTATCGTACACACGCGCATATATCTACATTATCTACATCCTTTCTACTATCGATATATGAATAACGTGCTTTCACGTGGTTATGTATGGTTTTTAAGGATACAGAAATAGAATGCGTTTGTAGGAGAGAGATAGAGAGACGCGGGTTGGGATCGCTTCTTAATTATGATCGGCGCGTGTGCAGCCAAGTTGAACGAGAAAACTAAGCGGGCCTCTCCATTTTGCCAAGCCACGCGAATTTCATTCCTGTCGCCGTGTATTAATGCCATAATCATGTGTAAGGATACCGTCGATCTTTCGCATAGGATCAGCAACCTGAGAAACTCGATTCCGGGCATTCACCTATGTGAAATTTCAGCCTACAATCATTTTTGTGTGTGTTATTTCACTTTATCAATTACCATAGAACTTCCAAAGGAGTCTTTAAATATTTTATAGATATTTCCCATGAATCATAATTATGTTTATCATATGTCTTTTAGTTTTCTATGTACATATAATAAATTTTAATTTAACAAAATTTTTCTTCGTTAAAGATTTAATAAACGTAATTTAAGAAACAAGACAATTTAATAAACGCAAAATTTTCTAATTAAATTGTTTTAATTTTTTATAATCAGTATTAATTCCAATTGATACTTCTTGCTCTAATTTGCATTTAGATTACGAGACAAGACGCATGAATAGTATACTTAGAGGATCTATATTGCGACTCTGTGCTCGATGCATTTGCATTATGCATGTAGCATTACGTATGAAAGTCAATGTTAATGAATCGCAGTGTCACAAAAAGTCATCGAGGAAATCGTAGATTGCATATATAACAAGTAGTTTAATATGTTACGAGAGAAGGCAGAGTTGATATACCAAAAATGGCATTGCCACTTAAGAAACGGAGCTCTGTATAATTTTCTTATTGTGCAGAAATAAAATCCGTGTTGTAGAAAACGGTACACGTATAACTATCGTTTACCACACGTTTTATGTTTCATTAAAACTCGAGGCGAAAATGCTTTCGAATGACACATAAATCCAATTAGCGACATTTATGCGTACGAATATTGAAACGTATCTGAACTTTCTCTTATCTTTATTACGTCGAAGAAATATCGAATGCTTTTACTTCTTTCGCACAACAACCTTCTAAAATATATATATTTCCTAAAATAGAATATAATTGAGTGAAGAAGGCCATATTCGATCAAGGCGGGTCTTAGTGCCTAATAATATTTTTGTGTGATTTTTTTACAATTCCAATTTAAGCAAACTGCATGTCGCACTTGAAACATAGTCTCAGAATGAAACTGCAGGAATACGTAATATAATTATAAATTAAATTGATAAGTAATTTTAATATTACTATTACGTTCTAAGATTATGTTTCAGGGCCGGTAAATAATTAGCGAATTGTTTTCTTTTTTACTTATTTGTATTGAATATTTCTCGATCCATTTTCACTTAATATTATTTGTTAAAGTAGTTTGTACATAAGTATCTTTTCATTATCTTAATGTGAATAATTTGTTTTTAGTTGATTTACGAGTTAATTCATTCTAACAAAGTAAACATATATATTTATATATATATATATATATATATATATATATATATATATATCGAGTTTGATTTATGTAAAAAAGATTTAGATAATTCTGTTTACATTAATCATGCATGTTCGAATTTTTTCAAATTTTTTTCATTTTTTTTCTTTACAATATCACGCACGGCTTTGAATGTTCTTGATACTGACGAGTAATGTTTCTCATTGGGTTGTCTCCAATTTGGCTCATGTAGTGTTTTTTATTTAGTATTTGCAGAATCACGTAGAAAAGAAAATTATGTGTCGAATGAATTCAAAATTATGATGAACTTATGATGAATTATTTTTTTTAATTAGAAAATCGTTATTTTTGAAAATCGTAAAATTTGTAAATCTACATATAAAACATAAATTATTGTATATAAAATATTTCAGAGAAATTTTATATCAAATAATGGATAAGTAAATACTTTATTATTTTTTCAATCAAATTTTATTTTATTTTATTTTATTTTCAAACCATATTTCAATTTTTCATCTTCCATGATTTCGAGGATATATGAGAAAAGCAATATTGAAGCAATGATTGAAGAAAGTATCATTGTGAGATTGTCTCTTTGCAAAAAAAAAAAAACATTAGAATTTTTCTGAATTTTTACATCCTTTTCTACGTGATTCTATATTCCAATACTAAATGAAAAGCACTATATGAGCCAAATTTGAAAGCAGCTCAAAAAGAAACGTTACTTAATTTGTGAGTTTTATTAGATAACGTGTATAGCTACACATGTAGACAATAAATATTTTACTTTTTTCTCTTTTAATTTCACATTGTGTCCATATATTAAGTCCAAGCAATGTAATTGCATTTAACAGTCATGATGCATAATAAGTATTATATATACAAAGATTTAGATGTGATTCGTTTGCCTGGAATTAAAAGGAACGGTTTTATTGTTCACCTGTATACAATCCGAGTAGAGAGACGTCGAAATCGCATAAAAGAGTAGTCAATTAGTAAAACCGAGCCGAACAGTCTCTCGGATTACAGCGAATTATTTATTAACGATGTCCGTGATAAGTGTGACATACGAAAAAAATCAGTGCACGAACAATGCTGAGCAACGAGGTTCGTTTTATTTGCGCAAAGATACAACTGTATAGTCCCAATTAGATCGAGAACCGTGTTTTTCGGTGTGAGGACACATCTGAACGTCACCGCTTCGGTCTGGAATATTTAACATATCGTTTGACCGCCTTGAGGGATGAAAAAGAGCGACTCAGCAGCAAAGAATATTAAATGTTGTCGTCGTCCACGTCATCGGGCCGCTCCTTTCTTCCTTGTGACCGTTCTTTATTTTATTATTTTATTTTTTTCTCTTCTTATTTCAGCGATCCGCCTATGGAGACGCGGGTAGGAACGATGATAATTGAAATAAACATAAGCTTTTGGAAGGGTCGAGCTCCTTTCGCATGGTAATTCTTATCCGTCCAGAACAGAAACCCTCCCACGCCCCGCCCTTTATCTCT